GGCCGCCCCCCCATGTTACCAGAAGTGTGGTCACCCAGCCACACCCACCTTTTGCTTCTTATTCTGTTTACCTTGTTTGTGATCAAAACCCATGGCCTTTTTTTGTAGCAGGAACTCCTTTGCATGTTAGGCCACACACCCCTAATGTAGCCAATCCTAATGAGTTTCTGCTGTTGGGTGTGGCCTATTATGCTAATGAGTTCCTGCTGGGTGTGGCAAATTTGGGAGCCAGCCGGAACTCCGTTCCTGTGCGTTACTGCTTAAAGATAGCCCTGCTAAGAAGACAGCTCCTGTCTCAGAGTCTTCCTCACTGGATTCAATTTGAACAAGTTCTCCTTGGTGTGGTCAATCTTGTGGCAGGATAGTGACACTTCAGATGGCGGGGGGGAGCTCACATAAGTGTATGTTTCTCCATGTGAAAAAAATTAAAAATCCCCTTCATATTGAAAATGAGCGTGTCTATCGTGTTATATATTTGTTAAGAAATCATGCTGTATATTGTTTTCATACACACATGCATTCTGATAAAGCAATCAAATTGCCCTTACATTATGGCTTTGCTAATTATATCCCCTGTGCTTTTTTTCCTATTCCTTTTTTCTTTCTGTATCCCCTTAAAATTTTAAAATAAATTTTATTTTTAAAAAAGAAAAGAAAATGAGTGTGTCGGGGGTGAAAACTTGAATCGACCAGGTTTGAAGAAATTTCTTGAACCAGTTTGAAACAAGCATCACTCCAGTTTAAATGAAGGCGCTGTGGAGACTGCTTTAAAAATGAAGATGCAGACATGAGTGTTCCCTCTAAGATGAGTCAGTGTGAGCTAGCTCACAGTTTTTTAGCCTCCAGCTCACAGATTTTTGTCTTAGCTCAGGAAGGATGGCTCCAAAGCTAACTAATTTATTCAGTAGCCAAATCACTTGCTCACAACTTTAATGCCAGTAGCTCACAAAGTAGAATTTTTGCTCATAAGACTCCACAGCTTAGAGGGAACATTGGATGACCCTAGTCTATTCTTCTTGGCACACTCGTTTTCTAACTTCAGGGAATTTCCCCCATACAGTGAGGTGGCTTAATCCTGTGGGACTAAGAAAGAAAGAAGGAGCCTTTTGAGATTTAGCAGAACTGGTTTAACCTGATGGCCATGCGTTTTGCTTTGGTAACAGCTAAGTGTGTTTGGACTCTGTCTAGGGACAGGTTAGCCAGCTCATTTTAAAAAGCTCTCTGAGGCGGAGTGCTTCTGGCATATGCATAATGCATCACTCCAAGGAAAGGGAAAGTCCTTCAAGCAAAAGGCTTCTGAGCGGGAGTGGATGAAGGCTCACTGGTGCCCTAAACACTGACCAATCTTGGTGCCCCCCTCCTTTCCACACTGACCCAGTCCATTTTAGTTGTTGACCTGTCCAGGGCTATTTTTGGGC